CCCCCACGCCCGCGCCCGCGGGGGCCGCGCTGCCGTCGGCGGGCGGGGCCGGGGGTCCCGGGGGCGCCGAGGAGGGCGCGGCGGGCGCGGGCAGGCCCAGAGGAGGGAGCGGTGGCGGCGCCGGGGCGCCCGCGGCCGGCGGCACGTCCTTGTGGCAGCGGCGGTGGCGGATGAGGCTGGACACGTGGTTGTAGGTGCGGCCGCAGACGCCGCACTCGTAGGGCCGCTCGCCCGAGTGCACCAGCATGTGCTGCACCAGGTGGGAGGACTGCTTGAAGGACTTCTGGCACACGCCGCACGGGAAGCGCCGCTCCATCAGGTACTTGAGCCGCCGGAAGTAGCCTTTGTCGTCCTTGGCCGCATCGCAGGTTGCTGACCCTGCCGCCGCCGTCCCCGGCGGCGCCTGCGAGGCGGCAGGGAGTGGCCCGGGGGTCCCCGGGGGCGCGGCCAGCCCCGGCGCGGTCCCCGGCCCAGCGGCCGGCCCCCCACGCTTTAGGTTCCCGAACAGGTGCTGGTGGCCCGAGAGGTCCACGATGCCCCACTGCGGGGCCGGGAAGGCCGCGTCGAAGATCGGGGGCGGTGGCGCCCCGAAGGCGGGCGGCAGCGGCGGGTCGGGCTTCTTGGCCTGGGAGGACGACGATGAGGACGAGGAGGACGACGACGACGAGGAGGACGAGGAGGGGGCCTCGGCCTTGGGCTTGAAGCTGGCCTGGGGCGGGTAGTCATACTGCGGCGGGGGCGGCGGCGGGGGCGGCTGCGGCGGGGGCCCGGGCGCGCAGGGCAGCGAGGCTACCGCCTTGGCGTGCTCCCCGTAGAGCTCCATGGGCTCGAAGCGCTGGTGGTTGAGGAACTCCAGGAAATCGAAGGGGTAGCTTTGGAAGTGGACCCCGTCCTCGCCCCCCAGGCCGCCGCTCCCGCCGCCCCCGGCGCCGCTGCCCGCTGGGTTCGCCTCCATCCTGGGCGGCGGGGAGACGGGGGACCCTGCAGAGAGGAGAGCGGGGCTCAGGAGGCAGGGCCGCGCGGGGTCCCCCAGCTGAGGGCGCTGGAAGAACCACATGCACCGGCCGGGGCCCCCCCACTGTCCGCCCTCGCCCGTCTGTCTCTCTGTCCTTCCCCTGCACCGAGCAGTCTTCCCCCGGGCTCCGCTGGCACGCTGACCTCTCCCACTCGGCCTGCCGCCTCCTGCCCCTGTCCTCTCTGGCTCTCATCTCCCTCCTCTTCCAGAGATTCCCCCTCTCCCTTCTTCCCGCGGTTGCCACACATCTCCATCCATCCCCAACACCGCTGGCACGCCTTGTTCTCAGACTCTGGTCTCGGGCCCCTGTGCAAACACTCCCAGGCCTCCAGCCTGGGTCCCCCAGGCCCTCTGCTCTGTAGCCACCACCACACACGCACTAGCCCCAGCCCTGTCTCCCAAACCCCTCAGGTTCTGCCTTTGCCAAAATAACAGTTTCTATCAGAGTGGTTAAAAGGGTGGCCTGTGGAGCCACAATGCCTCGCCAGCCTGTGTGTGACCCTGGACAAGTTCCTGAACCTCCCCATCTACACGTGGAGGTGACAAATCACGTCCCTGTCTCCCAGGGCTGCTGGGAGGACCCGACAAGCTACGGTGGGTCGGGTGGACACTCGGGGCCCTCTGGAGGGGACTCTCATCCTCACCCTCACTGCTGGTAGTAGGAACACAAAGTCAGGACAAACGGGGGAGGGGGCGCTGGGAGGAGGGCCGCGTGGGCAGGCGCATTCCTCCACTACCATGTATGAAGGAGGCGTTGCCGGCCTGGGAGGAAAAATAAGTTACAGTAGGAAACACGCCGGGCCTGGGTTTAAGCCCCATCCCCGTCCTGACCTATGCTTGTAAACAGGGCGCTGAACCCCAGGAGGGGGACTTAAGGGGGCTGGTGCAGGGTGGAAGGGAACACACTGGCTGGCAGGGCTCGCCCAGTCCCTGGAGCTACCTATACCTTCATGGGCATCACGCTCCTGGGAGGAGCCTGGTGGCAGGTGGTCCGGGAGCGGGGTTCCCACCCCCTTCCCCCAGCAGTCATTCTCTAAGCACCTCCTTTCCAGGACCTCGCCTTCAGGACTGCAGCTGGCCAGCGTCTGTCTGCCCCAACCTAGTGTCCCCTGCAATTGATCTCAGCCTGACACCCACCAGGGGCCCCGGGAAACGCCTCCACTGAGCAGGTGGAGCGCCACAGGGAGAAGGGCCCGCTCGGTCAGGCGTGCCTCTTAGCCATCGTCCCCCCTCCACTGGGGCCCGGGCCCTGCGGCCAGCCCACCCCAGGGGTCAGTGGGCCCATTCGCGCCATCTGGCTGCGTCTGTCCCCAGACAGGTGAAAGGTGAGTGCCTCCCCGACCCCTGCCCGGAGGTCAGTATTTTTAGCCTCCAGCTCCGGGTGTCCCTGGGTGCGATTCAGCAGCCCATGCCCTTCACACTCGGCTGGTTAATCTGATCTCCGGAAGGACCAAAGGCGTGGCCGGGTGCTAGTGGAAGTCTGTGGGCAAAGCCAAATCCAGGAGGCAGTGCTGGAGTAGGCTGGCCAGGGCAGGGGGCGGGGAGTAGAGGGCGAGGGTAGGGAGAGCCCGGTGGGAGCGGGGCCCCAGGGTGAAGCCCCACCCCACCCCAAGCTACAGCTTCGGGTCGCTCCCCAAGGCCAGCACCCTCGGAATCCCCGCCATGACGCGCATGCACAAGGTGGTTCCCCGAGGAGGAGGAAGGCGAGGGTGGAACTCGGGGGACAGGAGCCTTTGGGGGCGCTCTCTGGGTTATGAGGGGTGTTTCTACTTGGGGCCGGGTGGGAGGGGGGTTACCTTCCTGAACACATGGAGTGGTGAGGTGGTGCGCCTGCTCCTTCCTGCCTGGACCCTCGTCCCCAGACCTCACGCCCCCAGCCCTAACCCCCTTGAGGTCTCTGCTTCAGGTCGACGTCACCTCCAGGAGAGGGGACGTGCATCCCTCGCCCCACTACTCATGCGCCCCTCATCCTGCTGCACTTTTTCCACCAAAGCCACTGCTGCCAACATACTGCGCATATTTCCTCTTGCTGTCTCTTTACTGTCGGGCCTCCTTGCCTACAGGGGCGAAGACTTGGCCTGTGTGGCTTACCACTGGGCGCCCAGCACCTAGCACAGCGCCTGGCACAGCATGGTTACTTGGTAAATTATTTGCTGAAATGGAATTAAACAGCACCCTCCCACATCACCAGCAGGAAATCAGATGGACAAAGATGGAAAAGTAACAAAAGTTAGGAGATGCAACTAAAGCTGGGCTCAGAGGCAAACTTATAGCTATTGGTGTCTGCTGATATAAATTCGTTGAATAAATAAAGGGATTCGACTGTGCTGACCAGAACTTACTGGGGCGGGGGTGGGGGGGTGGCATTTAGCAGAGATGGAGCTGATATTGTCGAGGTGTGCCCAGGAGGAGTTCTGGTGGGAATGATGTCATGAAGAGGGCCTCCAGGGCAGGTGAGATGCCGAAGGACTGCGGCTGAGAGATGTAGGCGGTGGGGCTAAGGGACAAAACTGGCTGGGCTCACAACTATTTCCAGGAAAAGGAGCCACATTTCCTGTCTCCAGGGACCTGAGTCTTAAACTGCTGTCTTTCTAAGGGGAGATGTGTGGTGGATTTCATGCAGAGTGGCCTGAGGGGGGGAGCCCCTCCCAAGGGGCAGGAGTCCCATAGAAACCGCAGTCCCAGTCCTAACGACTCGTGTTTGCTGTCTGACGGGTTCCATGTGGACCATCACCCTGATGCCTCCTAATGTCCTGTACATTACTGGATCCATTGCACAAGGAAGGAAATGGAGAAGTGGGAGGGGTCACTTCCCCAAGGAGGGGAAAGCAAGTATTGGATCCCAGGCCCCTGATGCCCAGAGCTGTGGGCCATGCTGGCGCAGTAAAGCTGCCTTGTGATGAGATTCTCGTCTGTAATGACAAGAGCAATGACACAGTAACGGAGAGCCCTGAGTGAGTGCTTCCTAAATGGCAAGTGCCCTTTAAATCCTTCATATGTGTTGACTCATTAAGTCTTCCCAATAACCCTAGATGTTTCAGATTATTAACCCTATTTTACAGAGGAAGAGACTGAGGGCCCAAGAGGTCAATTAATCTCCTAAAGTCATACCACCACCAAGTGGCAGGGCCAGGAGTCGAAGGCCAGCGGTGAGGTTCAAGAGGACATGCTGTTATCCTCACAACATGCTGTCTTTTTCTTTGTGGTAACCCCTCATGGCTTGCAAGATCTTAGTTCCCTGACCAGGGATGGAACCTGGTCCCCCTGCAGTGAAAGCATGGGGTCCTAACCACTAGACCACCAGAGAATTTCCATGCTGTCTTTCAATATTTCTCTCCAAAATTAAAACAAGCCTTCACTCCACTTTGTACTGGAAACACTCTGCCCATTCACTTTGCTGCCACACACCCCCAGGACTAGCCACTGGCATTTCCTCAATGCCAACCAGCACTGCACTGTTTTATGTGCCTTCTTTCAATCAAACCTCACAACAGACTCTCAAGATAAGCACTACTGGGACTTCCCTGGTGATCCAGTGGTTAAGAATCTGCCTTGCCATGCAGGGGAAGTGGGTTCAATCCCTGGTCGGGAAATAAAGATCACACACGCCGCAACTACTGAGCCCACATGCCACAACTAAGACCCTACTGAGCCAAATAAATACAAAAAAAAAAGGAAAAAGATAAGCTTTATTATTGTTCTTACTTAGTAGACAGGAAGACTAAGACCAAACCATGTCACTGTTGCTCCTCTGCTCAAAACCTGCAGTGACATCTCAAAAGAGGTCAGAGAAGACCTCCGCAGCCCCAGGTGCCTCCTGGCAGCTCTGGCCTCATGCTGGCTCCATCACTGCCCCAGGGCCTTTGCATGGGCTGTTGCTTCTGCCTGGAAGGCTGGGACTCCCATACACACAGCTCTCTCACCCCCTCATCTCCTTCACATCTTTGCTCAGACGCTGTCTTCTCAGCAAGGTGCTCCAAGACCACTGTAACCTGTCACCCAGAGCAACATTACTGCTCACCCCAGCCTCCTTCGCTTCTCTCCTTTCCAGTCAGTGCATGCGTGTGTGCGTTTGTGACCCTATGGACTGCAGTCCACAGGGCTCCATGGGGATTCTCCAGGCAAGAATACTGGAGTGGGTTGCCATGCCCTCCAGTCAGTACCACCAAGATATGTTCTATTTGTTGCTGGACTGCCCCTCCGGGAGGTGGGCTCCAAGCAGGCAAGATTTTGTATCTGATTTGTTCACTGGTCAGCACTTAGAACAGGGCCTGCCTCAACAAACGTGTTAAATGAGTGAATGAATGAGGCCTGGGGGATAGGGAGTGGTCTGCTCAGAGATAGGAAGGCTAGTGAGCCAGGGTTCATGCCCTTAACCATTTCACTCCCGGGGGAGGGGAACGTTAAGGAGCACCCCCCCCTCACCCCCGGGGGACTGCAGCTGTCCAGGAGAGGAGTCTACACACACGTCTAACTTCTCAGTGCTGGAGGGACGGATCTCTTGAAAGAGGCCTTCCTGCCACCTCCTCTGACACTTGCAGCCCCTGTGACTATCCTCTGACCCTGCTGTATTTCCTTCACACAAACATCTATATTTTGCTTTTTAATTGTCTGCCCCAGAGGTGGCATATGCACTCCACGAGGACAGGGTTTTTGTCTGTTCTGTTCTCTGCTGCATCCCCAGTGTGTAGCAGGTGTTCATTAAACAGTTGTTGAACAAAGGGAAAGAAGGAACAAATGAAGAACACTCTGGGCTCCGCAGAGCTGACCAAGGCCAGGAGACTGGTCACAACGCCCTCACCTCTAGGGCCCTGTGAGATCACACCGTTTCCCCGCTCATCCTCCCTTCCACTCCTCTGGTCCAACCTCACTGCCTCCCCTGCTGCCCCTCCCATCAGCACACTCACAGCAACCTCAGGGCCCCTGCCTGGAACAATTCACCCAGACCTTTCCGTGGTGAGGTTGCCTGTGCTAATTCAGGTTTCACCTCCGAAGTAGCTCATAAGGCTCTCAGAAAAACCCAGAAAAACAGCACCGATCTTGTTTACTTGCTTTTGATCTGTCTCAACCAGACTGTAAAGACCCACAAAACAAAGACTGTATGGCTCTCTCCCCTTCACGCTGTACACCCTGGACCTGGAACAGCAACTGCATATTCGTTCATTGAAGAGTGAATGAATGAATGTCCAGGGGAAGAGGCGGCCGTCGCCCAGTGAAGCTGGGTCTTCCTTGGGGAGTCCAGGAGGAGGGCCGTGGGGAGAAGCTGCAGGTGAGGATGCGAGTTGTCAGGGCCAGGGGAAGAGCTTTGAGGGGAAAGCCTCATGTGAGGGGCCGTTCCCTGGGAGGACCCCAGACAGGCGCTGACCCTGAGGAGGGCGGGGTGGCGGTGTTTCAGGGGAGCCTGGGGCTAAAGTGGCAGCTATTCCTATCTGAAGGGGGGAGGATGTGAGTGTGCGAGCACAACTCTAGGGGGAGCTGTCTATGGAAGGGGGGAGTGAGGGTGTCGGTCATCGAAAGCAATATTCTCAAAGGGGATTATTGCGGGAGGGGGCAGAAAATGAAAAAAGGTATTTTGGGCCGCTGATCAGAATGCAAAGTATTTTTACAGTAACGAAGGGGGCGTTGGGGAGGGGGGTGGTTAACAGCTTTGGGGCTGTTGTGCGTGGACAGAGAAAATAGGGGTCTGCTATAAAATACTAACATCACACTCTTGCGAAGCAACCTACAAGAATACCAAAGGGAGGGATCACGGACAGCTGCTCCGCACGGGGACGGTCAATGCCGATGGCATCTGCGGGGCTGTCCTGCAGGAAGCAAAGACGGGGGGACTATGTAGAAAGGGAACCTATGAGAAAGCCTTAGTGGGGGGCCCTGGCAGCAGCTGAGGGATCGCCACGAGTGAGGGCGTTCTGGTAGCTGTCCTGCACGGGGGGCGGTAATGGGGCGCTATCCGGAGTAGTCTTCTGGGGGAGAAGTCAAGGAGGGGCCCCCCAGAGAGGGCCAGGCGCGAGAAGCACTGATAGGAACGCTCCGGGAACCAAGGCGGGCCAGGGCGGGACCCCCCGCCCACGCTGCCCCCGGGCCCCCGGGCCACGCGCCCCGTCACTCACCGGCGCCGGGGTCTCCGCCGGGAGGAGGCTGAGGAGGCGGAGGAGGCGCCGCCGCTCCGGGGAGACCCGAGGGCCCGACCGGAAGTGCCGCCCCCTCCCCCTCCCCGGCAGCCCCGCGCCGCCCGCCTGCCCGCCCGTCCGGAAGCGGAAATCGCGCCCGTCTCCGAGGCGCCGGCGTGGAGGAGCGGAAGGGGGAGGCGGTGGCAGAAACATGGAAGGGGAAATGCGCCTGCGCGCTGGCTCTGGGGCGGCGGGGACCGGGGAAGCCGACTCCGCTTCCGGTGGGCGAGCGGAGCGCAGTGCGCCTGCGTCCTGTGCCCTCGCCCCTTCCTAGGGCACCGCCCACACGCCCCAGGCCCCTCGTTAAGCCACGCCCCTTGTGCAAAATTAACACATAAGCCTCGCCCCATCCCCGACGGCGCCTCTTTCGGAGCTTAATTATCGTAGTCCCCGCCGACCGCCTCAGAACCCACCCTCCTCGACCCAGCCCTAGAAGTCTACCCCGTACTTCCCAGTCTCAAAGGCTCCGACTCTCTGGAAGCCGACCTCTCCCTCGTAACCCCCGCCTCTCGGAGCTTCTGGGGCCGAGCCACGCTCCTGCGCGTGAGCCCCGCCCTTTCCGCTCGCAGTATTTAAGCCCCTGCCCCTCTCACCGCTTTCACGCTCAATTGTTTCCCACTTCCCAAAGCATTTCCTGAAGTCAGGGGGTCTGAAAGTGTGACTTGAATACCAGCAGCGGCGGCGCCACAGGAAATTAGTTAGAACTGTAAATTCCCAGGCCCCCTACCCTAGATTCCCTGAATCACAGCCCCTGGGGGTAGGCCTAGGGACCTGCATTTTAAAACACTTCAGGTGATTCTGACGCAGGCTGAAGTTTCGAACCACACAGCTTTACCACATTTTACACGGCCCCTCACGTATACTCGCTCTAAGCCTCGCCTCTAACTCAGCCCCGCCTCAAGCAGCTAAGCCCGAGTCTCTCTAGCCCTTCCTCAGCTCTGCTTTCCTCTGGGACTCTCCTTCGGTACTCCTAAGGACCCCCTTCTCTCCCCTTGGCCTGCAGAGCAGTTATATCCACCGCTCAGCATCCTCACAGTTCAAGTCCTACCTGTCCCAACACCTTGCTCTCCTGCAGTTTCCCCTTGAAGCCCCTCCCGTCAGATAAACCCCCTATCCATTCCCTCTTAACGCTCTCACTTTCTGCCCACCAACCCGCCCACTTGTTTAAGCCCCTCCCCGTCCTCAGCCCCCTTATCCTAGGCCCCGCCCACAGCCGTCACTAACTACGCAGCGCCCTGAGCTCTGCCGGTCCAGGTCACTCCTTATCTACTTAAGCCCTACCAAAGTGGTCAGTCCAGCACGCAATCCTTAATTTTGTTGTTTCTCTGCAAACAGCGCCAGAACAAAGAGATGGGCCGAAGTGGTGGCTATAGGATTTCCAGGAATCTGGTTAGAATGACGCGGGGGACAGGGACCCGGGGTCACGTTTGCACGGAAGGTTCTATGTTTTACTTGAGTGGACATTTAGGGGGGAGTGCTTTGGGGTCCGCTGGGGATGGGAGGGGAGGCAGAGGCTTCTCTCAACCCAGTCTTTAGCGCCAAGCTAATGAAGCGCATGGCATGGGGGTGGGGCAGCGGCGGAAGGACACGGCAAGGGAGAAGGAGGCCAGTCCTGGGACCGTGAGGGAATACACACCAATGGGCAGTAGGCAGAGATTTATTTCCACAGCCCCTGCCTCCACAGGCCTGTCAGTCCGCGGGAGGGTGGTAGAAGGCAGCAGGACCCAGAAGCTGAGGTCTGCACCCTCAGCCCACTCCCAGAACGGGAAGACCACCAGACAAGGTGTCCCGGCCTCACTGCCCAGGCCCCGCACCCGGGGCACGCCCAGCTCTAAGCCTGGCCGGGGGAGCGGTGGCCCGGGGTGTGGGTCAGGCCAGCTCTTTCCCCTCCAGCTCTTCCTCCTCGTCATCGGCCCCTGCCGTGGCCGGGATACCGTCGTCGTCCCACGGCGCTTCAGGCTCTGGGTCCGGAGGACACAGAGGTGCCCCCATGGCCTCGGGGTGCTTGCGTTTGGCGTGGCGCCGGAGCGTGTTGGTCTCCATGAAGCGCAGCCGGCACACCGTGCACTGGTAGGGGCGCTCGCCGGAGTGGACGCGGTGGTGGTGGGCCAGCTCGCCCGCCTCTCGGAAGCGGCGGGGGCAGAGCGGGCAGCGGAAGGGCCGCAGGCCCGCATGGATGTTGCAGTGCCGCCGCAGGTGGCTGGACCGCTTGAAGGTCTTGCCGCAATCCTTGCACTCGTGCGGCTTCAGCTCTGAGTGTGAGATGCTGTGACGCTCCAGGTCGGAGAGGTAGGGGAAGGCCCGAAGGCACACCGGGCAGAAGTGCGGCGCCTTCTTAGGGCCGGGGCTGGAGCTCTCGGGCCCACCAGCCACTGACCCTTCGGAGACCGTGTAGGGCACACCCTGATCATCGATCAGCAGGAGGTCACTGCCATCGCCGCTGCCCACCGGGGCGCTCACCCCCTGTGTCAGGGGGGGCTCCTGCTCTGACTTGGCTGGGCGGCCCCGCTTGCGCGGGAGGGAGGCCTTGAGCGTCCGGCTGGAGGAGGTGGCCCCCCCAAGACTTCGGCCTCGACGGCCCCGGGGAACAGGAGGAGATAAAGCCAGAGGTTTCTCTTCTTCCTCAGGCAAAGGCGAAGGCCACGGGTCTGGGCTGGGGGTGTCCATTGAGCAGTGGGGGGCTTGGGTCTGGGCACTGGAGCCGGGCTAAGAGGAGAGAGGGGCAGCCGTCAATGCAGGGTGGTCTGGAATAGCCCTAGTCCCCCAGACAACTTCCTGGGTTCCAGTCCGTCGACCAGGGCATGGCCGACATCCGCTTGGACACGCAATTAAAGCCAAACTAGTGGGTAAAACAGCAGGATAATTCTGTACCAGTCGCTAATCACCTGAGCCCCACAGGCATCTCCCAGACCTCCCTAACTCCTCCTAGACATTCAGGGTCAGGGAGCAAAAATAAAGAAAACTCTTCCTGGGGTGACAGAGTCCAACTGAGGGTGCAGGCCAGTATTTGAGCCTCAGAACAGAGAGAAGAGCCAGCAAGGTCTCAGAAATGTTTTCTCTCTCTTCCTGACAAGGTGAGAAGGCCAGAGAAGGGGGCGGAGGGTCAGGACTGGAAGAAAAAAAGAAAGGGACTTGTCCCGGGTGACGTGTGCTCCTGAGCTGGGAATGAGGATGTATGTCAGAGCTGTTATGAGCCTGGGCTCTGGAGCCAGAGGTTTGATCAGAGCTCAGGAGCTCAGATTCCTGAACCTGTCACTCACTCTCTGTGTGGTGGCCTTGGGCAAGGCGCTCACCTCTTCAGGCACCAGCTAAGCCTTTGCAAAACACGGTATTTCCACCTACTCGCACAGACATGCCATGAGGATGATATACATAAAGTGCTCAGTACACAATGGGCTTCCCTGGTGACTTAGACTGTAAAGAATCTGCCTGCAACGCAGAGGACCCGGGGTCCATCCCTGGGTAAGGAAGATTCCCTGGAGAAAGGAATGTCTGCCCTCTCCAGTATTCTTTCCTGTAGAATCCCAAAGACCCAGGAGCCTGGTGGGCTACAGTCCCTGGGGTCGCAAGAGTCGGACACGACTGAGCGACTAACACTTTCACACACAGAGGTCCTTAGGAAACGTTACCTCTTTTTTTTTGACATTAGCTCTTATTATCATGGCTTGTAACTAAGCTTTACACCAACCCTCTGAATAAGGGTATATCACCTCCTTTTTGCAAACTTGGGAAACGAAGGCACAAGTTGCCAGCTCCCTCTGCTGGTAAGCGGCCGGGTCAGGACTTGATCTCAAGGACCCCAGTGTCTCAGGGAGTGGTAAGTTCTAGGCCCAAGGGACCTCATGAGGTCCCTTAGCCCTACGTTTGAATCCAGCTCTGCTGTTAACTAGCAAGTGGCTTTGCCTCTCCGAACGAGTTCCCACTTCTGTAAAATGGACATAGCAGGGTTGCCGGTTGTAATAAGCACCAAACAATCTACCATCAGCAACACCACCAGGGCCTGGTACCAGGGGACTAGACTGTACTAAAGTTAAAGGCGAGAAACACACAGGTGCACCCCATTAAAGCAGGCACCCAGACTGAGACCCACCGAAGGGCAGCCACTTCTCCGTGACCACACGGCTCCCTCTGTTGGGGGTGCCTAGGCCTGAATCCGGGTCTCTGGAACAAGGCCCAGACCCTCACCCACCTCCACCCCGGGCGCAGGCGCGCGCTCGGCCTGCGGCCCCGACCACCCCCGCCCCCGGGCCCGGCCCGGCTGCCAAGGGAGGCGGCGGCGGCGGAGGCAGCCCCGGTCCCGCGGCGGGACCGGAGCCCCTGAGCCTGCCCGGGATCCTACACTTTATCCAGCACGAGTGGGCGCGCTTCGAAGCGGAGAAGGCCCGCTGGGAGGCCGAGCGCGCCGAGCTGCAGGTGAGCACCGCCCCAGGACCCCCGACCGCCGCCCGCCCGGCCCGGCCCGGCCTCACCCGCCGCCGCCGCCGCCGCCATCTTGGAGCAATGGCCGCCGGGACGGCCGGCTGGGAGGCCGAGCGCGCCGAGCTGCAGGTGAGCACCGCCCCAGGACCCCCGACCCCCCCCCGCCCGGCCCGGCCCGGCCCGCGGGGAACAAAGGGCACGCGCTGGGTCCTAAGGGCCCGTCACGTCCCCGTCGGCAGACCGCTCCTGCATACCCATCGCTCTCGCTGGCCCCGAGCGGGAAAAAATTACCGCACCAACACATCCTACATAAACAGATATATCGTCCTCCCACAAAGGACCCAGCCAGTTGACCCAATCAAAGAAAGGTACCAAAAGGAGGAGAAGGGCGAAAATGGCGACGGGTTCCCGTAGTTAACATGGCGCCCGATGGGCTTCAAAACCCACTGGAAGACTAAAGCACAAGATGGAGCCCGCTCTTTCCTCCTGTCTCCGTCGCAGGCGGCGAACTTCAATGTCTGTCTTTTCCTGATGCAACTCGACGTCCTACCCAGGAGAAGCCTGAGGCTGCGACGAGGGAATCAAATCTGCCCTCATCTTTGTTAACACCCACCAGCGTCGACAACGCCGGGATGAGGCCGAGCGCTCGTAGCTTGTTGCCCTTAGTCTGTATGGCGCCGAGGGTCGCCTTAAGCCCCGCCCCTTCCCCATGCCCTCACCCAAGATGGCGCCGCCCCGGCTTCTCTACCCTCCAGCAGCTGGGAAAGGGACGGGAAAGAGGGAGAAGGGAGGGCGGCGGGGAGGAGGGAAGCCAAGAAGGCGGGAGGAAGGGGGAGTGAGGGGTAGAAGGGAGCCGAGGCGGAAGTTGAGGGGCCCCCCGGGTGGAAGTGACGCTACCCCCGCTGCCCAAAATGTCGGCGCCCAGAGGGAGGTGTAAGTAATTAAAGAGGAAAGCCGACTGACTTTCCCGGCCTCCCGGGGCCGCCTCAGGGCTCCAGAAACCCCTTTCCGAGCGAGCAAGGTGGACTCGCCGGGCCGCGGGGCCAGCCGGACCTGCCCCCGTCCCGGGCTCCCGGGCCCGCACCTCTCAGGGACAGGGGGGAGGGGCACAAAAGGCCGGCTCTCGGGGCCTGGGTCCCCGAGCGGACTGGGGAGGGGGGCCAGTCCCAAGGGCGACTGGGTGGGGAGGAGGCGGGGCTTAGCGGCGCCGGGGCGGAGCGATGGCTGCGAGGTGGTTGAGTGGGCGTGGCTTGTGGAGTGGGCGGGACTGGGTGGAAGTGGGAGGAACTTGGGCAAGGGGCGAGGTTTGACGAAGGGGCGTGGCTCTGGGAGACTGGTAGGCGGGCCCTAGGTTGAAGGGTCCTCCACTGGGGCTGAGTGGGGAAAAGGGTTCCGTGTGGAGGTGGGAGGAGCTAGGAGAAGGGGTGGAGTTTGTATAGGGATGAAGCTTTCAGAAAGTGATGGGCATAGTGGAGGGGGGTGGGGTTTAAGCGTGTAATTTGGGGGCGTCTTTAGGGGAAATAGCAAGTCTTTATAACTGCAGGTGAAATGACTTAGAGAAGATGGGGAGGGCGTCAGAGAGGAACGGCTGAGGTGGCAAGAGAGGGAGAGTGATGGGGCCTTGGAAAGAAAGGGGTTTACGTAAAGCCTGCGCTTAAGGAAAAAGTGAGCGGGATTTAGTAGGTGGATCTTGGAGAAGAGATGGAGACTTCAAGAGGAAGCTCGGAGTAATTTAGCAGACAGCAGTTAATCAAAACAGCTTAGCTGTTGAGTCTTAGCTGTGCGGTTAGTAAGCAACCACACTTGGCGCGTGTGGCCACAATTATGCTTAGTCCTCACCACCTCCTGAGGTAGGTCCTCCTAGTATCCTATTTTGCGGATGGAAATAGAATCGGTTGGTTTTCTCGAGGATAGTCATGGTCACCCTGGAAGGTTGATTCATATGCCCTTAACCCAAAATCTTTGTTCTCTCATTGGCTAGCAATGTCAGCCTTCCTCCGAAGATGACTTTCATCTTCAAAGAAGAGAGGGGGTGGCTTTCAGAAATACAACAGGCTTCAGGAACAAGACTTTGGAAGGAGTAGGTGGGGCCTGAGCGCGAGTGGGCGGGGCTTAACCACAGTGGGTGGGGCTTGGAGCAGGGTGGGAGTCCAGTTTAGAAGTGATTGGGAAGATAGGCAGATGAGTGGTGGAAGTGGGGGGAATCCCAGGAGAGTGGGAGTGGTTTTAAGGGCAGTGGGTGTAGCCTCTGACAGATGGGCGTGGTTTGGGAGGTAGTTCTCTGGATTTCCAGGGACAAGTGGCAGGTCTGAGTCCAAGGAGCCTAACTGGGGAGGCTGATGGGGAGGTGACTCCCTCACCCCGCTCCATGTCTCCCTGCTCCAGAGAGAGCCCCCACCCGCCACTGCCCTAGCACCGCGCCGCCATGGATGACGCGCCGCTGCCAGCGCCCCCGCTCCCCGCCCGGGCCCCGGCCCCGGCCCCAGCTCCACCCGCTGCTGCCCCCCGTGTGCCGTTTCACTGCAGTGAGTGTGGCAAGAGCTTTCGCTACCGCTCGGATCTGCGGCGCCACTTCGCTCGGCACACTGCGCTCAAACCCCACGCGTGTCCGCGCTGCGGCAAGGGCTTCAAGCACAGCTTCAACCTGGCCAACCACCTGCGCTCGCATACCGGCGAGCGACCCTACCGCTGCTCCGCCTGCCCCAAGGGGTTCCGAGACTCCACCGGCCTGCTACACCACCAGGTGAGTCCTGCAGGCCGGCCCTAGGGCTGGCCTCGCTGTGCTGTGCCCTCGGAGCCCCGGAGACCCACTGTGGGCGACAGCAGACAGCTGGCCCCTGAGAAAATTTTTCTCCCCCTCCCTCCCTCCCCATCGAAGCATCCTGACCAGTGAAACCAGGAATTAAAACATTCACAGTAAATTTGCCCCTCTCCTCGCCCGTGCTTCTGCTCATATGCCAGCAACTTTGTGTTCATCTTCCCGTACTGTTTTCTAAGATAGATTTACCATATATGTCCTTAATTCATTTACTCAGCAATTACCTATCAAATGATTTCCCAGTTCCCAACCCCGGGGCTACCAGGATGAAACCAATGACGTCCATGCCTTCGGAGAACTTACATTCCATTGAAAGTGGTCCATCGCCAGGTAGACAATCAGCAAATTCACAGGCGAGGGTGATCTAGAAAGGCAGAGATTTGGGGAAGGAAGTTAAGACAGCAACAGCACTAATAACCACCTGCTATGAAGGAGGAAAGGGGGAAGAGCTCTGGGCTACCAGCCAAGGTAGGAAGGGCAGGGCAAGGTGATGCTCCAACTGAGACCTGAAGGAAGAGCAGGAATTCGCCGTGGGAGCAGCATAACAGGCAAAGGGAACAGCCAGTCCTGAGGCTGGAGGGACCAAAAGAATGCGGACAGTGGCCGGACGCAGACAATGAGAGGGTCGCAGCTGGATCCTGGCCTCGTGGACCTGGCCGGAGGCTTCCCCTGCATCCCTCTGGGAGGCCAAGACTGTTCCCGGGGCCAGACGCTCCGCCCTGACGCCGGGCTCTCCCTCCTGCCCTCGCAGGTCGTCCACACTGGTGAGAAGCCCTACTGCTGCCTCGTCTGTGAGCTCCGCTTCTCCTCGCGCTCCAGCCTGGGCCGCCACCTCAAGCGCCAGCATCGTGGGGCGCTCCCGTCCCCGCTGCAGCCCAGCGCAGGCCTGCCCGCCCTGAGCGCGCCCTGCTCGGTCTGCTGCAACGTGGGGCCCTGCTCTGTGTGCGGGGGCACGGGGGCGGGAGGGGGCGGCGCCAGCGGCGAGGGTCCAGAGGGGGCAGGCGCCGGCGCGGGAGGCTGGGGGCTGGCCGAGGCCGCGGCGGCCGCAGCGGCGGCCTCCCTGCCCCCGTTCGCTTGCGGCGCGTGTGCGCGGCGCTTCGACCAGGGCCGTGAGCTGGCGGCCCACTGGGCAGCGCACACCGACGTGAAGCCCTTCAAGTGCCCGCGCTGCGAGCGCGACTTCAACGCGCCTGCGCTGCTGGAGCGGCACAAGCTGACCCACGACCTGCAGGGTCCCGGCGCGCCCCCGGCGCAGGCCTGGGCCCCCGGGGCCGCCGGCGAGGGCGGCGAGGTTCAGCCAGCCTGGGACGGCGGGTTGCTCCTGGGCCGCGCTGGGGGCGGCGTGCCCGAGCTGGGGGTGCTGCTCCCGGAGGGCGGCGGCGAGGCGCCCGCGGAGCCGTCGGAAGACACGCTGTACCAGTGCGACTGCGGGACCTTCTTCGCGTCGGCGGCGGCGCTGGCCAGCCACCTGGAGGCGCACTCGGGCCCCGCGGCCTACGGCTGCGGCCACTGCGGCGCGCTGTACGCGGCGCTGGCGGCCCTGGAGGAGCACCGGCGCGCCAGCCACGGCGAGGGCGCGGGCGCGGGCGGTGCGGAGGCGGCGGCAGCGCCCGCCCGCGAGGGGGAGTCCCCGTCCGGGGAGCCCGCGTCCGCCTCGGGCCGCGGCAAGAAGATCTTCGGTTGCTCCGAGTGCGAGAAGCTGTTCCGCTCGCCGCGCGACCTGGAGCGGCACGTGCTGGTGCACACGGGCGAGAAGCCGTTCCCGTGCCTGGAGTGCGGCAAGTTCTTCCGCCACGAGTGCTACCTCAAGCGCCACCGGCTGCTGCACGGCGCCGAGCGTCCCTTCCCCTGCCACGTCTGCGGCAAGGGCTTCATCACACTCAGCAACCTCTCCAGACACCTGAAGCTGCACCGGGGCATGGACTGACACGGCCGGGCCGTGTGCCCCGCCGTCAGACCTCCCCTCCCCGGGGCGCTGGACTCAGGGCCCGGGCCCCGGGGACCTAGGGACCACAAGGGAGGCGCCCCCCACTGGCCCTCCAGAGCCAGGCACGGGCCCTGGGAAGAGGGGACCCTGGCTGGAGGGCAGGGGACCACCCAGCACCTGCATGGGCCCCTGAGCTGGTGGGCGGCAAGACTAACCTCTGGGTCCCGCATCTATGGAGAGACTCCTAACCTCGAGGCCCCTGGAACACGTGCTGAGCACCCCCATATCAATCGGCCTCTAAGCTGTGGGGAGCTGGGGATGACAAAGGGTCTCCACAAGTCCTCCTCCTCTTGAGGGCCCTAATAATAAAAGATGGGCACGCCCTTCCCCACCCAAGGGAAGACTGCCCCTCTTCCTAAGAGCCATCATTCCAACCATCTAGATCTGGAGAATGGGGGAACCATGTCCCCGGATTTCCCTGGATTCCCCCCCCAAATGCTACCCACCAGGAGGAGTCACTGGTGCCCCCAGATAACAGATATAGCCGGAATCTGCCTCCTCCCCTGTCACTTAGACCCTGTGTGGAAAGAGGACCAGGGTAGTTGCCCGGTCTCGCTTCCCTACTGCGGAATGGATGGACCCTAATGACCTTCCCCGCCCCTCAAAACATAGAATAGGCTGGTTCAGAATCCGACCCCCCTCCCCCCGTAGGATGGACTGATCCGGATCCACGTAGACTCCATCCCCTGTCCACTGGAATGGGCGGTGCCGGTTGTGGCCTGCACCCCAGCTCCTCAGAGCAAATACCACAGACATTCCTCTGCGCCCTCCAGCGTGGGGGCTGGTCCACGTCATCTCCGGCTCTGCGAGCTCAAGAGTGGGGCGTGGGGTTCGCCGGGGTATCCCTCACTCTGCTGTAGCACCTGTCGGTCTTTCCATATCTGTCAGTTTGTCTGTGTTCTTCCCAGCGCCAAGGGGAAGGGGGGTTTGGCTGGGGGGGGGGCTGTCCCCTGTGAGCCTCGACCTCGCCCCCTCGCCTCACTCCCCAGCTTCTCCTGGACCCCAATAAACGCCGTCCTTTCAGCCGCTCCCGTCTCAGGTCCTGATCCTTGGCTTTTAGGGACGTGGGGGCGTCTCCCTCCCTGAATTAGGGCAGGGAGACAGACAAATAAAGACAGCTTTCCTTTCGCTGGAGACATTTCGAGTCCTCCACTCCCTCACAAAGACTGCCTGCCACCTCGTGGCATGTGGGAATCTTAGTTTGCCGATCAGGGA